TGTGTGTGTGTGGTGTGTGTGGTGTGTCTCCTTGTGTGTGTGTGTTGTGTGTGAGGGAGGGAGGGTTAGGGGGGAGTAGGTGGTGTGGTTGAAGATCCGTCGTGTAGGCACAAATTTAGTCTCATTTATCTTTCCCAATTATGCTACTCTCTCCACTTATTGCCCTTTCTGGATTTACGTATTAATTGTTGCTGGTTATTATCATTTTCCTTGTTCACATTGAGAGAGGACTTCCTAGCTTCCTAAGTATTCTTACTGCTAATAACTACCGGTAGTAAGTGTGTGTGTGTGTGTGTGTGTGTGTGTGTGTGTGTGTGTGTGTGTGTGTGTGTGTGTGCGGGCAGGCAGGCGTGTGTGTATGGGCGTGTGTGTGTGTGCGGGCATGCGTGTGCACACGCATTCATGTGTGTGACCTGTACTTAGCTCGGTGGTGACCTGTACTTAGCTCGGTGGTGACCTGTACTTAGCTTGGTGGTGACCTGTACTTAGCTCAGTGGTTACCTGTACTTAGCTCAGTGGTTACCTGTACTTAGCTCGGTTGTGACCTGTACTTAGCTCGGTGGTGACCTGTACTTAGCTCGGTGGTGACCTGTACTTAGCTCGGTGGTGGCCTGTACCTACCTCGGTGGTGACCTGTGCTTAGCTCAGTGGTGACCTGTACTTAGCTCAGTGGTGACCTGTACTTAGCTCGGTGGTGACCTGTACTTAGCTCGGTGGTGACCTGTACTTAGCTCGGTGGTGGCCTGTACCTACCTCGGTGGTGACCTGTGCTTAGCTCAGTGGTGACCTGTACTTAGCTCAGTGGTGACCTGTACTTAGCTCAGTGGTGACCTGTACTTAGCTCAGTGGTGACCTGTACTTAGCTCAGTGAAGACATGTCTAGTGTACTCTGTGGACTGAACCAAGAAGTCCTCCACTGAGCAACTTTACCAGCAGCTTAAGGAGGAATTGAGGGTAGCGAAGCTCGAAATAAGGCGACTGATGGAGGAAAACAAGAGGATTCGTAGTAGTCCTCAGGTCAAGAAGGGAACCTGGGCAGTGGCCGGACAGCATGGAACGAAGCTGAAGATCAAGAAGACAAATGGAGAGGAAGAAACGATGAAGAAGAAAAAGACTGTTGTGGAAACTTCGAACTCCTTTTCTGTGCTACCAGATGAATGTGAGTCAACTACTGGGAAAGTCACGACGAACGACTCCAGGGAAGGTAAAAACATTGTTGCTGTTGGGGATAGCCAAGGTAGGTATATGGGTAGGGCCTTCTGCTTGAAGGATATGAGTAGGAGACAGAGGGTTTGCTTTCCTGTGGCTGGGCTGGAGGATATTGTTCACTGGCTTGACATCATGAATGGAAATGGGACCAATCCTGCTATCTGCCTCAGTGCTGGAGGCAATGATGTAGGGAAGTATAGAAGTGAGGATTTAGTTAGAACATATAAGGCAGCAATAGACATTATTAGGAAGAAGGATGGGAACCCTGTGATATGTGGCATTTTGACCAAGAAAGGAGTTGGAAATGAATGGTTGTCCAGGGCAATTGGCATCAATTGCTGGCTGGACAAACACTGCAAGGAAAATTCAGTAACATTCATAGACAACTGGGACCTCTTCTATGGCAGACATGACATGTATGCCAGGGATGGGGTTCACTTATCTAGGGTCGGGGTGGGAGCACTGGCCAATGCAGTGGAGGGAGCTGTTAGGTCTTTAAACTAGAAATAGATAGTGGTATAGGTTTTTGTGGAAAATTAATGAATTCTCAGTGTAGCAAAAGTGAGAGCGACACACTGTGTTGCTCAAACTCCTCAAAAAACATAAAAAATTTGACAGGCAGTATTATGTAATAAAAGTATTTGTCATATGGTTAAAAAACAAAATCTGGTGTTTTATGACTATCCTACAAAAACTGCATCCATGAGGATGTCAAGATGTGACATCCACATCCGCATTTTCCTGTAAGCAGATATCCGCATGTGCATCCACAAAATAAGATATCCTCATACACATCTGCATCTGCAGATATCGAAATTTTCACATCTGATACATCGCTAAAATATACAGTACAGGTCAGCCATCACTAATCCGGCATCACTGGAACCTGTAGTGTGCTGGATTAGTGAGTTTGCCGGATTACAGTGGTTAGGTTAGAATACTTAAGTAACCTTTAGAATACTTAAGTAACCTATCAACAGAGACTTTCTGCTACATCTTCCTCATTTTCATCACTGCTTTCTCCGCCACTGGCTTGCTGCTGTGGATTTACAACCATCTGCACAATTTCTAAGTCAGTATAATGATGAAATTTTAGACAGTATAATGATTTCAGTCAGCATAATGATGAAATTTGAAATTATGCTAGCTGAAATTAGTGTCAGATTACTGATGGAACCAGATAATTGATTGCTGGATTAGTGATGGCAGACCTGTAGTGTAATAATTAGGGTTCTACATAACTGCTATATTTCTAAATAATTACCATTGCTATAATCCTCTGTAAACTCACCTTTTCTTTCACTTGTAAATCCACTGCTGAACTTGGTATATCTTCTTCATTACCTTCACCTTTTTTGCCTGTAAGTAAAATACTGAATCAATAATTAAATTAGATTTTAATATCATTCATCTTAAGTAGAACAATACAAAACTAACTACTTTGTTACATATTGGAAGGTATTAATTCACTTATCTCTTATTTTAACTTCAATATATCTTTTAATTATCAAAGGAAAATTTAAGTGTTAAGCTTCATCAAGTGCTACTTCATCTTGAGAAGAAAAAAGGTCACATTCTGTCAATGTCACTTGAATTAGCTGCTATGTTCAGACCATACCATGATGCTTTCACAGATCTATGTAAGCTGGTGTGCATCAGTGTGATTTTTGCCAGTAAATTCTTCAGCTTGTAAACAGTTTTTCCTGCCTGAGACTTACAAAAACTTGCTTGAGGAACAGCTGTAGTGATAGCAGAATAAGCAATACACAAGTTGCATTTATAAATTTGAAATGAGCCAAGAGTTTGAACATTGAAGGCATCATTGATACTTTTGTTTTCAAACGTAACAAAAGAATCTGCTATAACCTTTCGGTTACCCTGAGTATTTCATCAAAGTAACTTCCTGCATAACACACCTTTCAGTTTAGTGCTTGATTGGATATTACAATATCATCATCTTCCTGTACATCATTACATTAATATGTTCATTTTTTTAATGGCAAGTTATACATTGATGTAATTTAGTTTAATTATTGTTCTTGTTCTTTGATATGGACATTTATTTTCTCACTCTTATAAATTGTGAATAAAAGGATCTTTAGAAAACGTTGTTATTATAATTGATCTGATATATATTATTTTCATATAGTCGGACTTGAGTCCTGGAAATGGGAAGTACAATGCCTGCACTTTAAAGGAGGGGTTTGGGATATTGGCAGTTTGGAGGGATATGTTGTGTATCTTTATACGTGTATGCTTCTAGACTGTTGTAATCTGAGCACCTCTGCAAAAACAGTGATAATGTGCGAGTGTGGTGAAAGTGTTGAATGATGATGAAAGTATTTTCTTTTTGGGGATTTTCTTTCTTTTTTGGGTCACCCTGCCTCGGTGGGAGACGGCCGACTTGTTGAAAAAAAAAAAAAAAAAAAAAAAAATATATATATATATTATTTAATCTAGGTAGTAGGTTGGTAGACAGCAACCGCCCAGGGAGGTACTACCGTCCTGCCAAGTGAGTGTAAAACGAAAGCTTGTAATTGTTTTACATGAGGATAGGATTACTGGTGTCATTTTTTGTCTCATAAACATGCAAGATTTCAGGTACGTCTTGCTACTTCTACTTACACTTAGGTCACACTACACATACATGTACAGGCATATATATATACACACACCCCTCTGGGTTTTCTGCTATTTTCTTTCTAGTTCTTGTTTACTTCCTCTTATCTCCATGAGGAAGTGGAACAGAATTCTTCCTCTGTAAGCCATGCGTGTCGTAAGAGGCAGCTAAAATGACTGGAGCAAGGGGCTAGTAACCCCTATTCCTGTATATATTACTAAATTTGAAGGGAGAAACTTTCGTTTTTCCTTTTGGGCCACCCCACCTTGGTGGGATACGGCTGGTACGTTGAAAGAAGAAGAATGTATAATTTAAGTAAAAAGTGTGCTTGGTCTGCAAATGCAAGTGCCCTTAGCCCCCAAATTAAAAAAACAGGCACCACCCATGGCGACAGGGATGTTGTAAAGTATTCCTTCAGTTTCCGAGTGGTTGGGAAATAGAATGATCTTGGTGAGGAAAAGTACAACAGAGCCCTCAAAGTTAAAAGGGAGTAAATCTGGAGAGTGGTAAGTTATGAAGCAGGGCCAGTTTCTGAGAATCAACCCCAGCAACCAAAAATAGGAGAGTACACAAAAGCAGCAAGCTGAGGTGGAGCCAGAAGCTAAGACTTTACCCCTGCACCACATACAGGCACAGATGCAGTTACGTGCATGTGCACACACACACACACACACAAAAAAAAAAAGTCAAGCAATCATCTCAGTGCAAAGTATTTCTATGACTTCCATTGCAGTCACAATGAAGGAGAGTTGTGGGCTACCAACCTAAGTGTGCCTATATTTAGGGAAAATTCTATGAGAATCTTGTTAAAATGGGCGAGTTTTCCAAGGAAACAAAGTATTAGAGGTAATGTATATAGTATGAAAAAATGCACCCTTAAGTTTATCTTACCTCCAGGTTTTACTTTTCTACCAAACTTGTGTTTGTGAGGTGTGCCAAACTTGCGTCCACCTCGACCTCCAAAAAGGTTATCAAATTTATCTCCACCTCCTTTACCAGCCTTTATGGTTGCTGTTCTTGCTTGGCTCCTTGTTTTTCTAGGAGAAGGTTTCTCGGATTGGTGTGTTGAATGGGGTGAAGGTGGCTCGAACATGTCACTAACGTCAGAACTATCTGGAGAATTTGGCGAATCCAGATCCATGTCGATTACATCTGTATGTGTAACATCTCTTCCATTCTGTGTTGCTCTGCCTTTTTCTCCAAGTCGTGTGGGAGCTATTATAGTCATTGGAAGAGGGCGGTTTAAGAGGTTGCCTGGAGGAGGTCGTGAAAAGTCTGGAGCTGCTACAGTTTGTACAACTTGTGGACGTATGATACCACCGCTAGCACTGCGTACTGCAGCTGCTATGGCTGCTGGATATAGAATATTAGCAACATTGGCAGGGAGACCAGGAAATATTTGATTAATGGGATTTGTTGGAACTGTAGCAGGAGCAGGTGCTGCAGTCTTTGGAGCAGCTGCTTTAGCAGGTACAGCAGTTGTTTTTGGAGCTTTGGCAACTTTAGGCGTTTTAAGGGCAGCATTTGTTGTCACAGCCACAGGAGCAGCAGGTGCTGCAGTAGGGGGTACAGTACTTGTGGCTTCTTCTTCAGGTGGTTTCTGAGGTTCAGGTGGTCTCTCCTCAGGTTCTGGTGGTTCTGTTGGTAAAGGTGGAGGAGAAGCAGCTTTTGGTGCAACTACAACTTCAGGAGAGGCTTTTTCTACAGTTTCAGTCTGATCGCTGCTGCTAACCCGGGCCTCCTGCTGAGGGGAACCTGGAGGAGATGGAGACTTTGTTGGTTCAAAGGGATCATAAACATCTGGCTCAGGGGAGGAACCTGGGGGAGAACCAGCAGGAGAGTGTGGTACTCCAACTGCTGGAGACTTTGCCCTTCCAACAGATTCATCTGATTCTGGAGGAGGACCTGGTGGAGTATTGGGTCCTCTAGCAGGAGCTGGGGGTTCTTCCTCCTCCTCCTCATCACGTAATGGATTATTAATAGGTTTGAGCACCTGCTTGCTTGAAAGAGTAAACTTGACCGCAGGCTCTGGAGGAGTTTTAGGTCCCTGAGGTCTAACAGGAGGCACAGGTGTGGTGCCTAAATCTGGAGGCAACCGAGTAATACCCTCATCTTCTGAGTCAGAGATGAGGATGGGTTCCTGAGGTGGTGGTGTGACCATAATCACATCTAAATCTATAATTTCTGGACTTTTAGGTGGCTTTTCTTTATTGCGAGTCTCAGCCAATCGATCTGGTGACCACATTGGTTCATCTTGAAGAGGCGTTCGTTTACCACTTGGAGATGGCGTTCGACTTCTTGACCAATTTCTAAAAGGACTCCTATGAACTTTTGTGTTTTCTCTTCTTGCTCGCCTTCTCGCCTCTCCTTCTAATTTAACATTTCTCTCTTTCTTCTTTTTACCATCTTTATTTTCCTTTCCTGGTGCTCTATTAAAACTAACACTCACCATAATACTTCCACCAGCCTGATACACTTCTTTACTCTGCAAAGGAGACTTTCTTTTTTTTTTCCTCTTATCTCTTTCAAGTCTCGTTTCTTCTCTCTTCTCCACCAATCGATCTTTCTTTTTATCATCTTTTTTTCTTTCCTTTTTCTTTTCCACAACTGGATTAATTTTCTTAGGTTTTTGTTTTACCTTCTCTTTTGGCTTGGCAGGAATGACAACTTTCTTCTTCTCTGGTTTCTTTTTAACCGGTGTTCTTGTTCTACTTCGTGTTCTTCTTCTTCTTTTATCTCTGCTTCGTCCACGAGATCTAGACCTTGAAGATGAACTGGAACTTGAGCTAGAACTTGAAGACGTGTATGAGGAAGAGGAAGACGAGGAATAGCTCCTCCTCCTTGCCCGTTTTTTATTATGAGAACGTGAAGGCGAACGCGAATAACTTCTTCTGCCCTTTCGTGATCTAGAGCCATGACGTGACCGTGATCTGGAACGTTTTCTTGACCGTGATCTAGATTTTCGTCTAGATCTGGATCTAGATCGTGACCTTAGTGCTACATCACGTCCAAATTCATCTTTTTTTTTCCTTTCTTCCTCTTTCTGAGTAATCATTTTCCTGACATTATACCTCTCCATTTCTTTTCTTTTGGGTTCTTTTTTTCTTTCTCTATCTCTTAGTCTTCTTCGGTTTGAGTCTCTATTTCTCTCAATATTTCTGTCTCTATCCCCTCTCTCCCTATCTCTATTTCTATCTCGCCCTACGTCTTGAACATCTCGGTTTCTGCTATTTTTTGTCCCTCTTCTTTCTCTGTCCTCCTTTTCATTATCTCTATAGTTTCTTTCCTTCGTATTTTTTGAAACCTTTTTAAAAGAAACATCTTTTTCTTTATCTTTTTGTTTAGCTTTCGTTTTTAACTTTAAAGGAGGAGTCTTTGGTCTCTCAGGGACTGCAGCCACTGGCTCTTTAGGTGATACTGACTCAATTTCAGGAACTGTATTTTCTTTGTCCTTTTCTGTATCACCTTGTTCTTTATCACCATCCTTTGGTTCTTTATCTTTATCTTTCTTATTTTTCTCTTTTTTATCTTTCTTTTTTTCTCTACGCTTGGCATTCTCGTCAATTATTTCACCTTCTTCATACTCTCCTTCCTGGTCTCTAGGGGACGGAGAAACTTCTATCACTCGCCGGATCTGTAAATTAACACGAGGACGATGGAAAGGAGGAGTAACATGCCTAGGAGTTTCACTGGGAATTTCACCTTCCTCAATATTATCATCATTATCATCAAAGCTAATCTCTTCATTGTCAGATATAGTTTCAGTTTCAAGCCCTTCTAACCCAATAATGGGTTGGTTATTTCTGTCTCTACTTTTTTCTTCATCACTTTCACCAAATATTTCTTTAACCAAACATTCAGATTTATTAGGATTTGGATTTTCATTTGTGCTACTAGTCACTTCATGATCTCCCATATTGCTATCAGATAAGGAAATTGAACTATTAGCAGATTTCTCTAACTCAGGGGTATCTGTATCTGACACAGCTTCCAGTTCAAAGTCATTCAAACCAGGCAAGTTACTACTGCCTACAACATTGTTTTCCTCAGCTTCCTCAACAACTATTCTCCTGGGCATAGCGTCCACATTTCCTCTACACTCTGGTTTATCACTATCATCAATCACAAGTTCATCATCACTTGACTCAGGATCAATTTTATTATTAATTTCTTTTTTATCAGCCTCTGATGTTGCAACAATAGATATGCTACTCTTAAAGTTTTCAACATCGCCTTCCTCATCATCATCCTCCTCCTCCTCTTCCTCTTCTACTTCAGGTACTTCGGGTTCTATATCACTATAAATATCAATCTCATCATCATCATCATTTTTCTTTTTATCCTCTTGTTTCTTTTCCTTCTTTTCACTACCATTACAGCTGCCACTAGGTACTTCACAATAAGATCCTCCTCCTCTACCATCATCCCCACTTCCTTTCAGAAATGAAGAATAAGACCTTGATCCTGCTGGGTCATCTCCCTGAGTTCTACTGTTACCACCTCGTGGAGAACTTCCACTACCACCACTTGCTGATTGACCAAGCTGTTGTGGCTGTCTTGAGGGAGAGGATGACTGGCCATCTCCACCAGACTGCTGTCTGCCTGGTGACTCTGGCCCAGCTGCTCGTGCAACTGCTCCTATCCTTCCATTTAACTGAAGGCGTTCATGTGTAGGACTACCTGGATTAATGGGAACCTTAAGAAGATTGTTGTATTTGCTTGGTTTTAAAATGAAGGACTGGGTCTCCATTATTGAGCCCAAAAGATCACTGGTAATGTTTGTGCTATTTTCTATTTTTCTATATTTTGCCACTGCAGTACGAATAGAGGTATGAGACATAAGAGCTCTAACTGAGAGTGCCTTTCGACGTGCAAGAGCTTGGCTTGTGTCCATTACTCTCCCTCTTCTTATTCCTGAAGCTAGAATGGCATCTCCATATTCATCAGGCCTTCAGAAAAGAAAAAGGAAAAATTAATGAATTTATGAAGAATAAATAAACCATGTCATTTAAGTTATTTTAGTATGGTAAGGAGAATGAAAAATAAAGAAATTTCAAATTAAGGCAACAAGTTTAAAAAAAAATAATTAAGCGAAGACAAAGGAAGTAAACTTATACTACAGCTTTCAGACATGATGCTTTCAATTGAGAAACAAGACTAAAATGATAGTAATAGATACACAGTATAATAAAAATATGAAAACATAAGAATCTCAGATCTAGCATTTGTTACAGATACTTTGGTTTATCTCCTAATGATAAGTACAAACATAACAAATTACACATGTACATTCTGTAAATTCTGATGCAAATAAATATTATACAGGTTGAGTATCCCTTATCCAAAATGCTTGGAGCCAGAAGTGTCTTGAATTTGAGAATTTTATTCCAGATTTTGGAATATAATGAGATAGCTTGGGGATAGGACCCCAAGTTTAAACATGCAATCTATTTACATTTCACATACGACTTATAAACACAGCCTGAAGATAGTCTTATACAACATTTTTAAAAAAAGCAGCAGAGCAGCATTGGCAGAATACGGGCATCAGCTGCTGAACAAACAATGGCAGGCTTTCAGACTCCACCAACGAAGCCATGTTTTGATTAAAAGGCTAGAGTACACTTTACCCATAGGGGGTATCTACAGGCCTTTTTAACATTTTCAACAATATATCTGCAACACAGAGCAGAGAATAAGCACAAAACACACGGTAATCACAGTAATGCACGTAGGTCTGCTGGTGGTGACGACTGTTGATAACAAAGTGGCACCACCAGAGTTAGAGCCCCATCCAGGAAATGAAAGATCACATGTAGCAACTATCTGGGTATGCAGAAACCCCGCACAATACCCAAGAACTTCACCAGAGCCGACCGAAATTTTCCATTTGTGGCATCAAGTTGGAGCTTGAAAAATGTTTTTGATTTTGGAGCTTTTTGAATTTCAAAATTTCGGATGAGGGATACCTAACCTAACATTTTTTTTTCAACACGTTGGCCGTCTCCCACTGAGGTAGGGTGACCCAAAAAAGAAACACTTTCATTATCATTCAACACTTTTACCATCATTCACACATAATCATAGAAGTGCCCAGATATCACCAGATGTCACTCCAAACAGCCTTTAAGGTGTACTTCTCACTTCCATGACTCAAGTCTGGCTATCCAGTTTCCCTGAATCCCTTCAAAAAATATTACCCTGCTTACACTCCAACAGCTTGTCAAGTCCCAAAAACCATTTGTTTCCATTCACTATCTAAAATGCTCACACATGGCTGCTACATGTCAAGGCCCCTTGCACACAAATCCTCTTTTACCCCCTCCCTCCATCCTTTCCTAGGACAATCCCTACCCGTCCTTCCGTCTACTACAGATATATACAGCCTCTCTGTTCCTAAGACCACATCAGTAAATGAATTCATCACTAAGTGAGGAGCATACTATAATGGTAGTGGGTTTGTGTCAACCATCTCTGATATTGTTTTAATGTCACCTTTACACCATTTATAACATTTCTGGTATATTTTTAAATGTTTATACAGTAGTACAGAGGAACCTAAAATTTCGAATGGATCGCTTATCGAACTCTTTGAAAATTGACTGCTTTTTTCGAACCAACTTTGTCCCTATTATCGAACTCGCCCCTTCTTTTGAACCGCCGGGTACCGGACCTGTCCACCAGCCTGCTCTGTCCGCGTCCCTGCACAGGCGCCGTGAGAGAGTCTGGTTTTGTTGATGCTTGAGTGAACACTAACCTGTGGTCTCATTCAAACATTTTACGATTAATTCATTGTGTTTAGTGCTTGTGGGACTGTGACATAAAATACCATGGGCCCAAAGAAACTTGCTAGTGGTACCCCTGTGGTAAAGAAAGTGAGAAACACCACAGATGTGAAGAAGGAAATCATACAGAAGTATGAGAGTGGTGTGCGACTTGTTGAGCTTGCCAGGATGTATGGGAAAAACAAGTTGACCATCGCTTCTATCCTGGCAAAGAAAGACCAAATCAAGGAAGCTGATGTTGCAAAAGGTGTTGATATGCTAACCAAAAAAAGACCACAGACAATCGATCAGGTTGAGAAGTTGTTGCTGGTATGGATCAAGGATAAAGAGAAGGCAGGTGATAATGTTTCAGAGATGATTATTTGTGAAAAGGCAAGGAAGTGGCATGCCGATTCAAAGATTAAGGAAATTTGCGTCAAGTGGAATGATGTCCAAATGTTTGTGGAGAAGTACCACCCTGAGCAAGCTGAAACAAGCCATCTTTGCAACAAGTTCAGTGACAGAACCATGTCCCATTTTAGGGAAATCTTGAAGAGGCACCAGAAACAGAGGACTGTTGACAGTTATTTTGTGAGACAGGGGTCCAGTGACTCTCAAGCTGGTCCTAGTGGCATTAAAAGACAGAGAAGGGAAGTAACCCCAGAGAGGGCTTTGATACCTAAAGTCCTTATGAGGGGTGATTCCCTTTCCAAACACTAATCCCAACTCCCTCTCTCCTCCTCCCTATCTTCCAGATGCCATCACCAATCTTCAATAAAGGTAAGTAAAAATGTTATTTTATATGTTTATTTAAATTTATTAATAATTGTATACTATATTTGTTGTGTGTATGTAAAACTATAATGTAATACTATCTATAAAATGTATTTTTTTTGTGAATATTTTTTGGTTTCTGGAACGGATTAATTGTATTTCCAGTATTTCTTATGGGACATATTGCTTCACCTTTCAAACTTTTCGACTTTAGAACTAGTTCTGGAACGGATTAAGTTCAAAATTTGAGGTTCCACTGTATACTCTAATAAACATAAAAGAGGAAATCAGCTCTAATATACATTATTTAGGTATGCATACTGGTCAGAGCCCATTGTAAGTCTAAGTCGTTGGTAAACGAATACGTCGCTAAGTGAGGAGAGGCTGTACACCCTTCAAGCCATCTTATTTATAAGTTCAAATTACTCCCCATAAACTCATACTTGTGCAGACACAATGAGCTGTTATTGTTACTCCTCCACTCATTAATTTACTGTTTCTACCAGGCAAATAATTATTAAACAATTAAAAATGGGCAACTTACTCAGAATTTACATCTACATCGGCATTCACCCCTAAAAGAGAAAGATGAGGTAGTGCTGCATTAGCTCTCAAGGCTCCAAGACCTGGATCTTTGCTGAAAGGCTGCATTGTTGGTACACGTTCCCATGGTTTAGATGGTTTTATACCAAGAGCCTCTGCTATTCTTCCTTTTGGAGTCATGGCAGGGACAGGTAGTTTTACTTTCTTGGTAATCTGTGATGAAAAATAACATTAGGGTCAGATCTAAATCTTAAGACAAATTCATAATGAATTATGAGAAGTTAAATGTGAGAAATTATGAAAGGAGGGAAAAGTCACAGGAAAATATATTAACTGAAGCATCATAATATTACAGAGAAGTCACACAAGAGAAAGAAGAATTACAGTGCTAAAAAAAAAAACTGTATTAAGTTTTACTCAAGTGGAATGCAGCATACTCCAACATATACAGGAGGGCCCCATTTTTTTGACAGGCTCTCAACCCCCACTGCTAAGCGAAAATTGCCAGCGAGAGGAAAATAACAATTTTTTTCACTATCGAATGCATATACAACACCTGATAACATGTTTACACTGCTCAATACAACTAAGCCTAAAACAAACAATACGAAAGTAGAATGACTACAGTAGGACCCTCATATCTGCGGGTTTGATTTCCATGGTTTATTGTGGCTTGAAAATAACCCTTAATTTTGCTTATTGGCACCAAAACACAAAAGCAGTGGTGGTGGTGGTTCTTCAAAGGCTAAGAAAAGGTATGAAGTGCTTCCCATCAGTGAAAAAGTGCCAATTCTTAACTTACTGTGCATAATTTACCAACTTATCATAGGCATGTATGTAAACAAAAAACTGCTTATACAGTAGGGCCCCACTTACATGGCAGGTTAGGTTCGAGGCTACTGCCGTAAAGCGGAAATCGCCGTAAAGTGGAACACCCTTGTTTCCACTTATAAATGCATATAATACTAGATAACAAGTGTACACTAACATATATTAAGTTAGCAACAGAACTAGGCAGCATTAAAAAAACAATAAAAAAGTAAAATACACATATAGTATACTCATTACTTTTTTTTTTTTTTTTTTTTTTTTCAACAAGTCGGCCGTCTCCCACCGAGGCAGGGTGACCCAAAAAAGAAAGAAAATCCCCAAAAAGAAAATACTTTCATCATCATTCAACACTTTCACCACACTCGCACATTATCACTGTTTTTGCAGAGGTGCTCAGAATACAACAGTCTAGAAGCATAAACATATAAAGATACACAACATATCCCTCCAAACTGCCAATATCCCAAACCCCTCCTTTAAAGTGCAGGCATTGTACTTCCCATTTCCAGGACTCAAGTCCGACTATATGAAAATAACCGGTTTCCCTGAATCCCTTCACTAAATATTACCCTGCTCACACTCCAACAGATCGTCAGGTCCCAAGTACCATTCGTCTCCATTCACTCCTATCTAACACGCTCACGCACGCTTGCTGGAAGTCCAAGCCCCTTACCCACAAAACCTCCTTTACCCCCTCTCTCCAACCCTTTCGAGGACGACCCCTACCCCGCCTTCCTTCCCCTATAGATTTATATGCTTTCCATGTCATTCTACTGTGATCCATTCTCTCTAAATGACCAAACCACCTCAACAACCCCTCTTCTGCCCTCTGACTAATACTTTTATTAACTCCACACCTTCTCCTAATTTCCACACTCCGAATTTTCTGCATAATATTTACACCACACATTGCCCTTAAACAGGACATCTCCGCTGCCTCCAACCGTCTCCCTCGCTGCTGCATTTACCACCCAAGCTTCACACCCATATAAGAGTGTTGGTACTACTATACTTTCATACATTCCCTTCTTTGCCTCCATAGATAACGTTTTTTGACTCCACATATACCTCAACGCACCACTCACCTTTTTTCCCTCATCAATTCTATGATTAACCTCATCCTTCATAAATCCATCCGCCGACACGTCAACTCCCAAGTATCTGAAAACATTCACTTCTTCCATACTCCTCCTCCCCAATTTGATATCCAATTTTTCTTTATCTAAATCATTTGACACCCTCATCACCTTACTCTTTTCTATGTTCACTTTCAACTTTCTACCTTTACACACATTCCCAAACTCATCCACTAACCTTTGCAATTTTTCTTTAGAATCTCCCATAAGCACAGTATCATCAGCAAAAAGTAACTGTGTCAATTCCCATTTTGAATTTGATTCCCCATAATTTAATCCCACCCCTCTCCCAAACACCCTAGCATTTACTTCCTTTACAACCCCATCTATAAATATATTAAACAACCATGGTGACATTACACATCCCTGTCTAAGACCTACTTTTACCGGGAAGTAGTCTCCCTCTCTTCTACACACCCTAACCTGAGCCTCACTATCCTCATAAAAACTCTTTACAGCATTTAATAACTTACCACCTATTCCATATACTTGCAACATCTGCCACATTGCTCCTCTATCCACTCTATCATATGCCTTTTCTAAATCCATAAATGCAATAAAAACTTCCCTATCTTTATCTAAATACTGTTCACATATATGCTTCAATGTAAACACCTGATCTACACATCCCCTACCCACTCTAAAACCTCCTTGCTCATCCGCAATCCTACATTCTGTCTTACCTCTAATTCTTTCAATTATAACCCTACCGTACACTTTTCCTGGTATACTCAGTAAGCTTATTCCTCTATAATTTTTACAGTCTCTTTTGTCCCCTTTCCCTTTATATAAAGGGACTATACATGCTCTCTGCCAATCCCTAGGTACCTTCCCCTCTTTCATACATTTATTAAACAAAAGTACCAACCACTCCAACACTATATCCCCCCCTGCTTTTAACATTTCTGTCATGATCCATCAGTTCCAGCTGCTTTACCCCCTTTCATTTTACGTAATGCCTCACGTACCTCCCCCACACTTACATTCTGCTCTTCTTCACTCCTAAAAGATGGTATACCTCCCTGACCAGTGCATGAAATTACTGCCTCTGTTTCTTCCTTAACATTTAAAAGTTCCTCAAAATATTCTCGCCATCTACCCAATACCTCCATCTCCCCATCTACTAACTCCCCTACTCTGTTTTTAACTGACAAATCCATATTTTCCCTAGGCTTTCTTAACTTGTTTAACTCACTCCAAAATTTTTTCTTATTTTCATTAAAATTTCTTGACAGTGCCTCTCCCACTCTATCATCTGCTCTCCTTTTGCACTCTCTCACCACTCTCTTTACCTTTCTTTTACTCTCCATATACTCTGCTCTTCTTATAACACTTCTGCTTTGTAAAAACCTCTCATAAGCTACCTTTTTCTCTTTTATCACACCCTTTACTTCATCATTCCACCAATCACTCCTCTTTCCTCCTGCCCCCACCCTCCTATAACCACAAACTTCTGCCCCACATTCTAATACTGCATTTTTAAAACTATTCCAACCCTCTTCAACCCCCCCACTACTCATCTTTGCACTAGCCCACCTTTCTGCCAATAGTCGCTTATATCTCACCCGAACTTCCTCCTCCCTTAGTTTATACACTTTCACTTCCCTCTTACTTGTTGTTGCCACCTTCCTCTTTTCCCATCTACCTCTTACTCTAACTGTAGCTACAACTAAATAATGATCCGATATATCAGTTGCCCCTCTATAAACATGTACATCCTGGAGCCTACCCATCAACCTTTTATCCACCAATACATAATCTAATAAACTACTTTCATTACGTGCTACATCATACCTTGTATATTTATTTATCCTCTTTTTCATAAAATATGTATTACTTATTACCAAATTTCTTTCTACACATAGCTCAATTAAAGGCTCCCCATTTACATTTACCCCTGGCACCCCAAATTTACCTACTACTCCCTCCATAACATTTTTACCCACTTTAGCATTAAAATCCCCAACCACCATTACTCTCACACTTGATTCAAAACTCCCCACGCATTCACTCAACATTTCCCAAAATCTCTCTCTCTCCTCTACACTTCTCTCTTCTCCAGGTGCATACACGCTTATTATAACCCACTTTTCACATCCAATCTTTATTTTACTCCACATAATCCTTGAATTAATACATTTATAGTCCCTCTTTTCCTGCCATAGCTTATCCTTCAACATTATTGCTACTCCTTCTTTAGCTCTAACTCTATTTGAAACCCCTGACCTAATCCCATTTATTCCTCTCCACTGAAACTCTCCCACCCCCTTCAGCTTTGTTTCACTTAAAGCCAGGACATCCAGCTTCTTCTCATTCATAACATCCACAATCATCTCTTTCTTATCATCTGCACAACATCCACGCACATTCAGACTTCCCACTTTGACAATTTTCTTCTTCTTATTCTTTTTAGTAATCTTTACAGGAAAAGGGGTTACTAGCCCATTGTTCCCGGCATTTTAGTTGACTTTTACAACACGCATGGCTTACGGAGGAAAGATTCTTATTCCACTTCCCCATGGATATAAAAGGAAAATTAATAAGACCAAGAACTATTAAGATAAAATCAAAGAAAACTCAGATGAGTGTGTATAAATAAATGTGTACATGTATGTGTAGTGTGACCTAAGTGTAAGTAGAAGTAGCAAGACATGCCTGTAATCTTGCATATTTATGAGACAGACAAAAGACATCAGCAATCCTACCATCATGTAAAACAATCACAGGCTTCGTTTTACACTCACTTGGCAGGACGGTAGTACCTCCCTGGGTGGTTGCTGTCTACCAACCTACTACCTATACTTACCTTAAAATATTTGTAGTCTTAATCTAGGGTGAGATGAATAATATGTATGGTAGTCAGCCAGACTACCATACCAGACCACCCCACCCATACATAATATTCAATGACATTTAAGCATCCCAGAGCGATAAAATGCATATACAGTTCACTCATTACTTACCTTAAAATATTTGTAGTCTTAATGTAGGGTCAGAGGTGAGTAACATTTATTGTAAGAAATCAAGTGTGGTGTGTATGGTAGCCAGCCAGGCCAACCCACCCACACATAATATTCTATGACATTTAAGCATCCCAGAGCGATAAAATGTATATGCAGTTCACTCATTACTTACCTTAAAATATTTGTAGTCTTAATGTAGGGTAAGAGGTTAGTAAACAAGATAAAAAAAATAAATGAGAGAGAGAGATAATGAGTACATGAAGGAGGGCAGGTGCAGAGTTAT